CTTTCTTCGTCGAAATGCGCAAGTATTGGCGCGTTTGCAGGGCTTCGCTTTAATTTGAAATGCCTCGACTTGCGGCGTTTTCCCATTGAAGTCGCGCCGGCCTTCGTGAGTACGTCATTTGGCTCGGCATCCGCGAAAAGTTCTTCCGAGCGTCCTTTAATAAGCGCAGAGGCCAAGAAATCGGCGTCTCTGCTGTCTGTCGTGTGTGCAGGAAAGGTCGGCGATCGCAGCGTTTTCTGTGGATCAGTAGCACTCCCACTTGCTGATAACGTGGCCAAGGAACATAAAAAGTGATTGCACGTGTTTCAGCAGCACTCGTTGTTTTTCCGAGTAAGTGGTTTTTGTTTTAGAGCGCTGTGCCAAAAGCAACGGGGACTGAACGATTTTGTTCAACTTTTGTCTGTAAGCGCAGGAGTACGGGGCGTTTTACGTCCCAAAACCACGACACGATCATTAAGAGCTACGGTCACTTTGACTATCTGGGGCCCTTCAAAACGCACTGACATCCCGGGCCTCAACCATTTTGCGTCCACCAAAATGCGAACGCCGTGGCATGTCTAGAATCTTGCCTATCAGACTTTTCTCATTTGATATTTCTTTTTTATTTATATTTGGCAGAATATCAAAAGGAAGAAGGTTTTTTTTCTAAACTTTGCCCCAAATATATGCAAAGCTGCGACGAAAAAAAAAGAACATAGCTTATCCATGAAGTGAATGATGACGAGTGGGTGAAACAGCGGAATCGTTCGGTGTACCGTAAGTCACCCGTGAGAGTGACTCACGGGTGTGAGTGACTCCAATTTTCCTATGAAATTGCTAACATGCCAGTCGAAACTGCCGTATCCTATAAGTATCTTGGTGTAACATTAACCCCTGATCTTTCCTGGCGAACGCATATCACTAACATGATTTCATCAGCCAACCGATCATTAGGATTTCTAAAACGTCACCTACGTCACTCACCGTATCACGTTCGTCTTGTGGCCTATCAGTCAATAATCCGGTCCAAACTAGAATACGCATCACCCATCTGGAGCCCTCACCAAGTTTATCTGATCAACGCTATCGAAGCAGTTCAAAATCGTGCCGCTCGCTTCATTCATTCTTCTTATTTTTACGATGTCAATGTTTCATCCCTTAAAAATGAATCCGGTCTATTAAGTCTTTCCCTTCGCCGCAGAATTGCTACGTTGTCACTGTACCACAAGTTATATCACAGCTCACTCCACCAACCACCTTACATCGCTCCTGCCGCACACATTTCTCCCCACACTGGCCATCCACTTCAAGTCTTCCGGCCCCGATCTGGCACTTCAACATTTTCTGCATCATTTCTCTGCCGCGCCGCCAAAGAATGGAATGACCTTCCCCACGATGTTGTTTCAATTACCTGTCCATCACGTTTTATTCAAAGTGTGTCAATGCATCTGCAATGTTAACCTGTGGCTTTTGTATCTTTGTTGTACAACCCACCCCTTATGTAACACCCCCCCCCCCCCCTGTGGGATCTTTAAGGAAATGAAGTGAAAGTGAAAATGAAGAGTGATCCCTCGCGCGTGCAAGTGAGCGCCAAGGGGAGTACAGGATGCTTACTCGTCGTAGCTGGTATGTTGTGTTGAGTTGTGAATTTCGGTTCGCTTTCATTATTACGGCTTTGAGGTAGAAAATTTAGTCGAAATTTGGCAAAGACGACGTATATAGGCACGTTCCTCTGGTGGTTGTAGATTGTGTCCAGTCATACAAAATGTATCGTAAAACATATCGAGACGGCATATACTGCCCAAGCCAGTCATGTCGTCACGCAGCATTTCGGTCGACTTGTTGCTTGATGGCCTCGCGTTTCCCGTGCAGAAACTCGGTAGGCTCTGAGGAGCGGACGGGCATATTCGTCGGTTATGACGCGATGTTCGCGGAGGGGTCTGACGAAGCCTCGACGACGACGAGAAGCAGTCCTTGTATTGGTGGAGTAAGGCTTTGAGCTCCTTTTGTGCTGCCTGGAAAGGCTTTGATTGACGTCGAAGGCTGGGCGCGGACACTGCTGTCGACGTTGCGGCTCCCTGAATCGGTGAGGGCGAAGGCATTGCTCGCTTCCACAATTTGCTTAGATTGTTGCTACCGTCGTGCCCCTATTCAAGTGCCTATAGTTCGTTGCTGAAGTTCGTCACCATTACCTGGCTTCGCCGTTATGAAGCTTGGCTATGCCTCTTGCGACGCACATCTGACGGTTTTAGGAGCAGGTGCTGGTCGCCTTCGATGACACCTTGTAAGTTGGTAGACGCTTTGGTGCCGACGAAATGATGACGCTCGACAGTGGCGGGATGGTTACCTGCTCTTCTGTCACATTCAAGGAATTGTGAGCGACGTTGCAGTCTGACGCCGTGGCATTATCCGTGGACAGCGTGATTGACCTGGATCTTAGGTCGATGACTGCGCCTTGCTGGTCCAGGAAATCCATGCCTAAAATGACGTCCTCGCGAGCATTGCTGCAGGACCACAAATTTCCAAAATACGTCTGGCTGTGAATCGTGACTCTTGCCGTGCAGGGTTCCCGTCGGTGTTATAAGGTGGCCCCCTGCTGTTCGGATATCCGGTCCTTCCCATGCAGTCTTTACCTTCTTGAGCTTAGCGGCGAAGGGACCACTGATGATAGAGTAGTCGGCGCCGGTATCGACTAGGGCGGTGACGCGGGTGGCCGTCGATGATCACGTCGAGGTCGGTGGTTCGTCGTCTGGCGTTCCGGTTAGGTCGGGGCGTCGGATCACGGCTGCGTCGGCTTGTCCGGTGCTGCTACGTCGCGTCGGCGGCGAGGCTTGTCGTAAAGACTCTGCTCAGGCGGCGTGCTGCGACTTCGTCGGGAAAGTTCGTGCGTCGTGGTCGTCGTCATCGGCAGCGGCGGCGGCGGCGGAGGATCTTCGGCATTGCGTCGTGCAGCAAACCGCACCTCCATCGGTTGCTGCCTTTCGTTTCCCGGGTAGGGGCTGGGGATCGGCCCCGGTTAGGGCCGGTGTACTGGCGGCGATCCGGGGAGACGTAGCGGCCAGGCGAAGGTGAACGGGATGGTCGTCGTTGTTGCCACTGCGATCCGGCGATGTAGTCGGCGATGTCACGAGGTCGCTCACCTGGGCGCGGACGCGGCGCGTTCACGTCGAAGCCACGCAGTCCCATCTCACGGTACTGGCAGTAGCGGTAGGTGTGCCCGGCTTCGCCGCAGTGGTAGCATAGTGTGCGGTGGTTCGGGGTGCGCCAAACGTCGTTTCCTCGGTGAGCGCTGGATTACTGGCGAGCGGGAAGGCGTCGGGGGTGGCGGCGGTGGCTGGCGACAAAACTGCGGAGACGTGGGTCCTGGTGTTGGCGAGGAGCGGCGACAGGTCGTCGTGCAGTAGCGGCGTAGGTCATCGCCTCCGGTTGGGGCTGTGGCCGTTCAGGAACGCTCAGTGAGCGCTGTAGTTCCTCGCGGACTACGTCTTCGAGCGAGGCGACTTGGGGCTGAGACGATGGCAACATGCGGCGCAGTTCTTCACGAACAATAGCGCGTATGGTCTCGCGCAAGTCGTCGGGGCAAGCGTCCTCGGACTTCTGCGACGTCTGGCGACATGCGCCGATCGTATTGGCTGGTCCGCATTTCAAGAGTCTTCTCGATGGTGGTAGCCTCGGAGAGGAACCTCTTGTACCGTCTTTGGCGGGGTTCTGATCAGTCCAGCGGAAGAGCTCCCTGCTTCCACTCCTGGCATTACGCAGGCGAACCTTTCTTGTCCTCAGACATGTCGGCGTCGGCTGTGGCGGAACAGTTCGCGTCATCTCCTCCTTGAAGCTCGTTACGTTTTCGCTTGGGGAGCTGGCACACCGCGTTTCAAGCAGTGCTGCGGCCCTCTTTCCTTTCCGCACGACGTCTTGCAAAGGGTGCGCAGGAAAGCAAACGCGGAAGTCGTCTCCAGGTTCGAGGCGCGTTGACTCGCGGTTTCTCGAACCAAGTCTCTTTGGTTGCCTGGCTCTTGGCCTAAGATTTTGCTGCAGATGTTAGTTGGCATTGATTTTTGGTTACCCGACGGTAGCGCAGTCTCATAGAAGGTGTCTATTCGTCCTAAAAATATTAATTCATGGTGATTGCCATGTTACATGGTGCAGTGCTCGTGTCACCTGAATTCGCACTTTGTTCGAGCGAAAGTTATCGCGCCAGCGACGCGCAATAAACGGGCGAGAACTATATACACGGGGCCACTGCACCGTGTCGTGTTGTATCGTGCATCGGACGTGACGCGTGGCAAACACAAGGTCCGGGCCCCGAAGCACCGGCCAAGAGGAATGAAGACAGTGGCACACACGAGACCCAGTTATATGTGCACAAGAATAACTATATATACATTTATACAACGCCCTCTGTGAGGCCAGCGAAGTGAAACTGGAACCGTAACCGAAACCACGACACCACATCGTTCCCCCCATCCTTAAAATGAATAGGATGCGTGGTCATACACCCAACCAATGCCTGATAAGAACAAAAATGTAAGGTATACACAAAGAAGTAACTAAGTCCGCGGCATATCAGCGTGATTAAATGCTCAGCAAACACACGAAAATACAAAGGTAATGCACACTTGAAATAATAACAGCACCATATGTGGGTTCCTGCATTTGAGAGCAGTGCCTTTCCTTCTTAACGTGGATGCATCGGTGAGCCCGATGACGGACCTACCTACGTGCAACTATAAGCACCTGTACGTAGTTTATCATGGTATACAATGAATATAAACCTAAAATGCCCAATGCGCCATTTGTCGGTGACGCGAAGCATCAATGTCTTGACGTGGACCCCTCACATATATCACGATATTTGTAAGGGGTGTAATGCAAATGTAGACATCACCCACGCCGGTGCACCCGAAACTTTTCTGCTCAACTTGTATCGCTACCGATGCCAACGCTGTAGCGCAACAGTGGCGGGAGTCGGAGGCAGCGAATGTGACGCGGAACTGCGACAACATTTGATAACGCCCTCGACGAGTCGCTCTTTGCTCGGGTTGCCGTTGTTCGTGCCGTTCGCTCGAATATCCGGCGATTATCGACACTCGCAGAGATCACACAGGTTTGGCGACGTCTGACCGGTGTCTCAAAAAGAAAAAAAATTGAAGCATGCTGCGGCCGTCACTCGACGATCAGAATACGACGATTCGTGATGCACGGACTCGGGAAGCGTGTCATGTCTACCTCTGCAGCCATCCGATCCCGTGTGGGAGCCTGCTGATGGGCCTCGCTTCGTCATCGACGTCGCAGTGCGGCAACCTGTGGCATAAGCACTGGGTAGTCATCTTCGATTTCGGTGAGAGAGAAGTGTACGTCTGCGACGCCACCAAAGACGGCACCGGGGAACTGCATGGGCGTGGGTCCTGGGAGGAGAAGGCATACGTCCACAAAAACGCCTACTCGTATGAGGCAAGTACAACCAAATGTGGCGACTAAATTCTAGAACAATTTATTTTGGCGCCTCATTGGTGACACCGTAAAGGGCAGCAGTGTTGGGCCGATCTTAGTTAGGCTCGTTCTGTTTGGCGAAAAAAAAAACGGCACTGCTGACAAGCTGCAAGCCTAATTAAAATTTAAAACCTCAATGTTTCGCATGAATGCAACGACAAGTAGAAGAATGAATGTGAGTAATTCGTAATCAAGAAAGAAACCCCACACACAAGAAAGAAACTGAAATCATCTAGTCTAATAATCTAATCGCACGCATGTGTGCTTTAATGCAATAGCTATAGACTGACTGAACATGCTTTTGTAAGGTCATATAACCGTGAATATGCTTTTTAACCAACCGAGCACTGTGAAAATTCCTCCATTGCGTGCCCCACCTCTGCACATTGCACCATTTCCGTTGAATCACAACGCGCCTAGCATGGCGCTGCTTCGTGTCAAACGCACAGCCATTCGATGTGCTTTGCAATAGTCATGATAATGAATCAGGACGTAAAGAATAAAGAATCATAACATTTGCCCATTTAAACCACCGACGTTAGGTCAGTACGCTTTTTATTTGCTATACAAATTATTTCGTGGAAAACGCACATGGCCGGAACATGATGGTTGTTTTAGCCAACTCCAGAATCTATCTCAAATCAATGGTCAGTTAGACGATTACCTATTTGTTTTTGTGCTCACCTTAATATTGTACAGGAATACGTACAAACTTTAATAGCATTTGACACATGTAATTCTGATATACTACTCGCGCGTGCGCCAACGTTAACCGCCAATTTTTATGCTATATTTGAGAGAAGCTTCCCATAAGCAATTATTGTACTCAGCTTTTAGAGGCGAAGCTCTTTATTGTGTGGCTTGTGTGTCGCTCGTTGTAGTGGAGGAGGAATAAACTTTATTATTCATAAAGAGAAGGGGAAATGGGGGACACCAAGTTTGACGGGGGCTAGGTTGGGGCCCATAAGGCCGCAACACTAGCAGACCAATCCGCTAGCTTGGCCTGTATAAGCTCGTTGTAGGGCGTAACCACCGGTGGCACATACCCTCAAGAGCGGTTTTTAGAATGTCCGCTAAATGGCTGCACTTGTATATGATGAATACATGATGAAAAGATGTGAGATGGTTGTACTTGGAGTGTTCACTAGATAGACAGACGGACATACAGATGGACGCACAGCGGACGAATGGAAAGACACACAGAAGGACGACCGCACGAACAGACGCACGGGTGGACAGACAGACAGACGAACGAACCGAGACACGGAAGAACAGACGTTCGGACGGACGCATGGATGGACGCACCGACGGTCGCTCGTATGGACGGACACACGAACGGATGCACGGATGGATGCATAGATGGACGAAAGTACAGACGGACTAACGAACGCTTCGCCCCACCAATCATCATTCACTCCGTGGATATGCTGTGATTTCTTTTAGGTGGATATACCGCAAAACTAGAGTCTGCCTTAAATGGGGAGGAATAAGTTACGTTAATATTGATGTAGATAAAGGGCTGAGGCAGGGATGTACCTTTTGACGTTGTTACTTCATATGCATGGGTGGAAAGAGTGCTTGGCGAGATAACTATTGATCTTTATCGTTTACGCAAATAATCCAGCGTGTGGTAATGCAGCGGCTCTTGGCTTTGTTTAATGCTGACGATATTTGCGTTATTCATGCCGAAAAATCCCTCGAAGTTGTGCACATGACTGAGGCAAGTTTCCGTCTTCGGAACAATTACAATGATCAGACTGTTATCCGGAATTTTGGGTGGCCAAATCTGGACGTGATTTTGAGACACGCCGGATAGGGGAATTCTTTTCAACGTGCACCGACGTCCAAGTGCGGGGGCCTCTACTATTTTTCGCCTCGGTCAAAATGGTCCCGCCGGGAGCAGAATCAAACCCACAATTTCCACGTAGCAGCTGAGCACCGTGCCACTGTACCTCATCGGCAGCCACGGGGACTAAACTGTATTGGAATTTCTGCAGCCATAATACTTTCCCCGAACGATCGCTTCCTTTAAGCGAATGCTACTAACATAATATAATTGTTAAACAAGAAAAAAACTAATTTATCATGCAGAAACTGTATGTTGTTCCAGTGATAGGTGTGGCAGGCATAACTTCTCAGCTCGGGGAAAATTATAATGGTAATAATACCCAGGCTTTTACGTGCCAAAAGCACGATATGTTTATGAGGCTCGCCATATAGTAAAAAGCTCCGGGAATTTTGATCACCCGGTGTTGTTTGACGTGCACCGACGTCGCACAGAACACGGCGATCCCCTAGCATTTTGTCTCCATTGAAATGCGACTGGAATCGAACCCGCGACCTTGGAGTCAGTAGCCAAGTACCGTAACAGCTGCGCCACTGCGGCGGGCTGAAAAAGGTAGTCTACATATATTGTTACGTAATACAAGATGGGGAACACACACAATGATTTATTGAGGGCGAACTTGTGCCCAGAAAAGTAGCTATGTCACAAAGAAGAGTCCGCTAAAAGCGTTCCGCCTACGTGTCTCTTTCTGAACAACCACTCCGTCAGTCCTCCCGGCTTGTGCTCGCTTCGGAAATGTGTGCCGGAAATCAGGCCCCGGAAACTCACCGCTATAGTTTCGGTTTCAAGAAACATGCACGCTCGTAGCGGCTCCCGGGCATCCGGAATCCGGGTTAACAAGGTGGGGTTGAGGGGAACGGTGGAATTTATTGACGTGCACAAGTTTTTTTACAAATAGCAAACAAAATGCCATATACCCTTGTAGAGAACTTCTCTTTTTTATATATGTCATTTCTTCTTCTTTATTTTGTGAATTTAAGATCAGGCGAAGCACAGGAAGTGATTGAGTTGCGTTCATATTGCTTGCCTCCACTGCTTCTCACCCTTAGCTCAGTGGTATCAGAAGTTCGATCGCGCTCAGTTATCTCACTTGGCTGGCGTACCAACTACGGGAAAGATATGGACGGCAAGTTGTGGCGGGCAGAGAACGGAAGCCGCAGTGAGCTGAACAAGTGAACTATGCATTCTTCGAAGATGGCTTCATCGGGCAACACATGTTTTCTACGGCTCTGTGGTGTGTCAGAACGAGAATTTCTAGTTTCACGAAGGTTTTTCAGCCTTTCCTAAAAGCAATTGGTGAGCACGATAGTTCTGACCTATTATTTGAGCAGGTATTCATTTTGCATGAGTACACATGAGCAAACCCAGTTCAATGAAGCCTGACTGGACTGACAGAACTGCAGTGTCGCTTGACTAATTGGTGAAGGTGGTAGCCAGGCTGCTGTCGGGAAAATGCGTTTATTGAAAGGCTTGGATTCGGGTTGGCTCTGCTGCATAGTTCTTTTTTTTGCTCTCGGTGTTAAGTTCAAATGATGCCAAGTAATTTTAGGTTGCTTCCTGCTCATGATTTTTTGTAGCTGGGGTTCGAAAATGTGTTAGTCTTTACTTCTAATATAGTGTTATTCAAGTACACGTGATAGACTAAAGGCTTCTAAATATTATTACAGAGAATGTCGATGGAGCCAACGTTTTGACAAGTGGACATTTTTTTGTCAAGGTAACGCTTTTGCCCTCAGGAAGACAAGTCAACCTGCCAAAACACTGTTTCCAGCGACGTTTTTTCACAAAAAACTTCTGATCGCTTCAAGCCTCTCCGTGCCTCTGAACTCCAGTCTCGTTTGGTACTCAAGTTCTGTAAGAAAACTATGTGCCCCATCGTAACAAACGTGATTAAGTCAAATACGACGTGTAATATACTCGCCATTGTTGATAGTTTTCGCAATGGTTCAAATATTCTGGGTTCAACGTTTGCTCATTATGTCCGTATGTCAGTTGTAAGTTGAAGCTGATTTTATAGATTCACACTTTTTCACCAGCCCGCCGCGGTGGTCTATAGTGGCTAAGGTACTCGGCTGCTGGCCCACAACTCGCGGGATAGAATCTCGACTGAGGCGGCTGCATTTTCGATGTTGGCAAAATGCTGTAGGTCCATGTACTCAAATTTGGGTGCACGTTAAAGATCCCCAGGTGGTCGAAATTTCCGGAGCTCGCCACTACGGCGTCACTCATACTCATATGGTGGTTTTGGGACGTTAAACCCCACATATATCATTACCACTTTCACACTAAGTGTATATCCGGTTGTTGTTTTTTTTACAAAACGTGCATTAAAATGTTAGTTTTATTTGTGCCGATCGAGTTTCGTCTCACTGAGGAATCAGACAGCTTAAATTTCGACTCTTCATAAAAGATTAACAACAAAATTTTACGGATGGCCACATCGCCCGAGCGGCCAGCGGACCTAAAAGAACACACGAGCACATTCCGCTTGCGTGTGAAGTGGGAAAGGAGGGCTTCCGCAGCAACCCTCCTCCTCTTGAATTTTCATCCTTTTCCTTTAGTTTGCGACGTCACCAGTGACGTCATAAAACAATGTTCTGTTCGTGATTTATTTCTAGTAGGATGCCCAGCAACCGCTGGTGGTAACAGTGGCGTTGCCGCTGCCGAAAGCGAATACATAGGAGGAATAGGGAGTTTCCGCACCCTGTTCTGATATCAGTATCTCCATTTCGAAGGAAGTGGAAACAAATTGAATATGCAGCGTGCATCTGAATGTATACGTTTTAGATGCGAAGCATATCTTGCTTGGGCCAATGTCCCGCGGCTTCGATGGTGTCCGCAATCACACTACACATGCGCAACTTTCCTCCTTCCCTATTTCCAACAGCTGCACGTTACTCTCTCCACTTTTCCCCTTCCACCTGCTTGCGTTCACTCTCCCTCAACGCCCTCCGCTCTCTCGCTTCAGAGCATCGATGCAGGGAGCGTCTGCTAGCGAGTTCCTTGATTGAAAAAAATCCCAGCACATCCACGGAGTGAATGACGATGAGTGGGCGAAGCTCCAAAGGTTTATCGGTAGAACCGTGAATCTTCCGTCCATTTCGCCCAGTACATT